TCCTTGTGAAAGAGTTCGTCCAGGGAACTACGCTATCTTACCTATTTCTGCCACCAAGCAGTAATATCAGCATTACTGCGTTCCGGTTATGAACAGTATGGGTGCTGGAGAAATTACAGGCATTTGCAGGGACTTGTCAACTTATGTCTGAGCATGACGGGCGCAGTGGCCCTCAAATTTTTGCGATTTAAATCTCTGAGTGGCACTGCAACTGTATGGACAGGCGTGTCACTTGTCATCAGGCGCACGTCGTCCTTTCGCTTGGTATCATAAAAAAATAAGATTCTCAACACACCTGTCTGTCAATTAGGCCAATTTCTCCATTTACCCAAGACACATTAACCATTTCGGTTAAGAGTCGAAAATACAGACACGATCTATTTGCTCATAGTAAATTCATGCACGTATTTTCATTGTCGTCGTCTTAGAGTGAAAACCTCGTATGTGATTTCTAAGTGATTTTTCAGGATGAAGATAAAATTGTGGTGTAAAATGTAGTAAACGCAATAATGTTTGTAGTCAGAATTTTAATTAGTTAAATTATACCTCTTTCAGATACTATTTACTTTATTAATATACTTGAGCAAGAAGTTTTTAAGTTTTGCTTCAACAAAAATCACTAGAAACGAACTGTGTGAAAACGCGTATGCGAAGTTTGCACTCTAAGGTGACGTTATAATATCCTATAATTTTAGGAGCCTGTCTCCTTGTCCCTGTGGTCACTTCTCCCCTGTCCGGTGCTGTGACGGTGCACAAAATATGCTTTCAATGTCGCCCAGAAGGTTGCCCTTGTATAATTTGTTGTAGCGCCTGTCAACTACGAAGCAAGTTAATCACAGCAAAATATACCTTACTTTTCCGAGTGACATATCTATCACCCTTTAAAGTGTGAGAAAGCATGGCTGGACACATTGCGCTTCTGGAAACAAACTGAACGAAAAAGGCATTCACAACACCGATAACAATTTATACATATACAACTATAACTAAACCATCGATTTATCATTTCTTGCCTCAACGCTGAGCAGAAACTTCTAGCAAATTTAAAATTAGTGCACAATATAAATATCGAAGGGTTTCGAAACAATCAATTCACTTGTCCCCCGTTCTATGGTTTCACTAAATGAAACTCCATTACATAAATGTCGTTGCACAAATTTGTTGCAAAAGTTTCAAAGCAATTTTTTGCTGTTAGGAAATAACGGTTTTCTTAACTTGGCTACGTTTTCTTTTATGTGTGGTAAGAGAAAAGTTTCAAGAACATCTTGTTACTACACAAAAAATTGGATGAACAGTTTAGTAGACAAAACCATGCACATACCAACACACAATTAATAGCACATACCAATAACACACAATTATACACACATGTAAATGAAACAGTGAACTGGTTGATTCAGTTTCACTTTAGGTCGTCGTCGTGCACTTGATTGTCCCGTCATTTAGTATCATAAAACAAAAAGGAAAAGCTACTTTTTTTAAGTGGGTTGAGAGGTTACAATTTTTGGAAATAAGTAATTACTTACATAACAATCACGTGTTTTCTTTCTTCAACATGAAAATTTAAGTAGGTCAAGAAAACATGATTGATTTGATCCAAAACAATAAACTTATCAATTTTATCTTGTTGTCTGTTTATTTTTTTATTATTTCGTTGATCTGTGTTTGGTTCGTGTTTTTACGTCGAGTAGATAAAAACATTTAGTATGAATCTTGTTCATTGCTTTGTTGCAGTTTCAGCGGGATTTTTTTAGCAAAAATTACGCAAGCATCTCGGGGTTAACTCTTATAGTAAGTTATGTGCGTACATATAAGTTGGTAGTTTGGTATCTTCCAATTTTCTTTATTATATAGACATAATATACAATAGTAACAAAATAAGAGCCATACTTGTGCGCTTCTTGTTGTGTTTGACCATATGTTTGTTTTTCGCTAATATATTTTCTTACTTGCGTGACATCTGTTTTAAATGATTATTTTTAAGTATAGCACTGACCAATGTGTTTTTATTCTATTTGGTTCACTGACCGGGAATCCCTTGTGCCATTTGTACTATTCTGTCTTGTCACAGATTACTTAATAATTACTACGTAAGTCTTATACAATAAAGATTAATTAATTAGATAATAAAATTATGTAATTTATCAATTGCAAAAAGTCACATGGTCCACCTAAATTTCACACGCAAATTTCTCAAATGACCACCTAATTACTTGTTATGTGACCACCTATTAGTCACCTATGTATCCTGTGCCTATAATTGCGCTGATTGATTACGATGCCTGATTGATTGATTCTTCAATTAAACAACAGTGACCTCTAATTTCGCATTCATTCAAGCTCATTTATTATTTGACATTCTAAACTTTGAATATTTAAATCGCTTCAATATTTCTTAACTCTGGAAACCCAACTATTTCTTTTCGTCATCCATTGCAATATTTGTAATAGTTTCTTGCTTAGTATTTTACATATAACAACATCTTTGCCTTAATCGGGGTCACAGGTTGTGTTCTTTGATTGGAGTACTTTGGAAGAAAAGATCAGATAAGTGGGATTAAGGCTAAATGGAATACATACAAATATATGGGTATATTTGAGTGAATTTCATTTTCCGAATTTCAATGGCACTTTTTAAGTGATTTTTGTAAAACCCTTTTTTCTTTTGGTTTTAAGGTCTTAAACGCACAAATAAGTTCAAGCAATGTCAATAGTTATAAAATCACAGAAATACTTAAGTTAAATACAACAAAAAATGATATTTTAGGTCACTCGAATGAGATTGCAGTAACACGAATGATTTTCTCATAAACGTAAATGAGAAAGACAGCACAATAATGAGAAATTATGACTAAAACACACATTTTATCGTTCACAAAAGAACATTTAACATGTAGCAAATATTTTAATATAACTTCTTGTATCAAAATTCTTCTCATCCGTGTAAGACCATCTATCTATCTACATATACGTAATTAATAAATAAATCTAAATAAGTATTTTGTTAATGTCATACAAACTTTGTTGTACATCAATATATCATCATCACCACCATCAACATCATCATCATGATCACCATTATCACCAGCATCATTACCATTCACATCATCATCACAATCATCGTCATCATCACCACAATCATCATCGTCATCATCACCACCATCATCATCGTCACCACCGTCATCACAACCACTATCACCATCTAATTGTTATATTTCAAGTAAATGTTTGGCTTAAAGTAACTATTTGACTTAAAAGTAGACAAGAATGAGAGCTACAATAATGATATTTGGATATATTTTTAATTGTCAACTGTGTAAAATATGCTGGACCGTTATTAAAGTGCATGGATTTTAAAGTTCTCTTTGTCTAATTGATGTACAATAAAGTTTATAAAACTATTACTTATTTACATAGATTGCTTTACATGAATGAGAACGATTTAGTCACTAGCGCTGAAATTGGTATTTAAGTCAATTTTATACTAAAACATAAAACGAGATGCACAGGTTACTTCACTGTGTACACTCCAATCCGACAGGAGCCCCTTCTCACGTGTGCGAAGGGTGAAGGTGATGCGGTATGAAATTCTGTAATTAGGAGGCTTTTAGTTGAATTGACACTAATGATAAGAAAAATTGAAACACATTTTGTATTCCCAACATGTTCTCATGTTTGTTTGTAATAAATTGGAAAGTTACGGTATGCATTCGACGTGCAAGTTATTAGAGTTTATCCTCGATGGGAAATATTGCGATTTCCACGAGTGTTTAATTTTTTTCTTCTTTTCTTAAAATTAGGGCGACGTGGAACCGGCCACTAAGGGTCGTATTCAAGAACTCTACTCAATGCTCAAGTCAGGATTAGAGCAGACTTGAGTATGATTTCAAGCACTGGAAATACGACTCTAACGGCAAGGACTTGAGTATAATTTTCAGTGCTCACTCCAATACTCAAGTCCTGACTTGAGTATTGAGCAGAGTTCTGGAATACGACCCTAAGAAGTCTGTGGAACCGGTTCCCATGAATGAGAAATTGCCCACTTTTTTAACTTTTATTTATTACTGTGACGTAGTAAAGTAGTATTTTTATGTGTAACACAGACTAAGTAAGCAAGCAATCATATTAAATAAATAATGCTTAGCATTCATATAATAACATAAAAGTTATTGAAAGGGACACATTTTTGGAGGTTATCTGAAAACGACCCATTTATAATTTGATAACTACTGCCTACTATTTGAATGTCTTAGAGTTTCAACAAGAGTGAATAAGTTAATTCTATCATCCGTGTTTGATACAAATTCACAATTGTATTTACAAAACAAACTCCTGGCAGAGTCATAAACAATAGCATACGTGGAACAATAGAGAGTTTGCGACAAATACTGCTGAATATTCTGTATAGCAAAATTTGTAAACTCCAACACTATGTCTTATGGAGTTTTTGTTGGGGTAGATACATGTTCCATTTTCGGGTCGCGCAGTATTATAGGGTAGACCGGCTGATTGGTTGCCGGTGCCTACGTGACGTCGCCCGCGTGGCGTTCCAGCTGCGTGGAATGGGGCACCGGTTTGTTTTGTTGCGCGCGCACCCACGTAGAGATGCTTGAGTTCATGTCGATTCATGGGTCTTGTAAAACTTAGGAATCAGTTTAAATAAAGTCTTCAAAGACCTTTTAGACGGCCACCTTCAATAATAAAGTCTTTATTCCTTTTCATCTAATTTGTTTATTGGTATCGCTTAAAGTCTAAAATTTAAATAAAGTTAAAAGGCTGTAAATCCAATAGTTAGCACAAAACACCCCAAATACTAAACAACAAAAGAAACAAAAATTATAAACAAATTCATAATAAAACTAAAATAAATTCAGCGCAATAAAATGAACACAAGAGGCAAGGAATCTGATAAACTTATCGACGTCGGTAAAACAGATGTAAACATTAAATACAGCTCTATTGCTTATTTTGAGTGTAGTGAAACCGGCAAGGAGGTACAAAACACAACAAAGAATCAGTCGTACCGACGTACCCGCTCGGAACACACGCCGCTTCGCGACAGTCTTCGAGTTATTTGATTGAATTAAAACTTTTTATTGAAGTAAACGAAGAGTTAATTGAAGTAATATTTACTAAGTATTAAAAGAAGTTTGTCAAGATGTTTTCAACGAGGAGGAGTGTGGACAAGATTCTGCAGATGTACAAGAATGAGATCAGAAGAAACATCAGCAAGACGACTAGTGTGACTAATTCTGACGCGATGGTGCCGAGACTGGACCAGCAGGTGACAGTCCAGCAAAACGAAGAATCAACTGTGCAGAAGAAACTATTGAAGTTGCAGAAATATCACAGGTCAGTGAACCTCGCCGGCGTTTGCGTAACTGAAGCCATGTCGAGTCTATTCATGCTTGTATACTTAACAGTAGGTGCGGTTTGTTATATCTAGGCGTCCTTAATACATTCAGTTCTGACCTAAAGTAGATGGCTCTGTGAAATTAAGAACACACTCTCCATTTACTTTCCAGTTAGGCTACCTTATAGGTATTAAAAAGTTACGTGAAACTTTAAAGTGATATCTTCTGACCTTTACATCGAGTTTATTAAAGAGAAATCACTAAGGTATGGATTAAATACATGGATGCAAAATTCACGACTCCAGACCTATGCAGAGAGAACTATTTGCAGATTTCCTAAAGTACCGTAGTTAGTAAAATCAAATATCTAAATGAAAACAAATCCCTATATTGCCATAAAGAAATGCTCACCTACTTAAGTAGGAACCTGTTTAAGAACTCGTTGTTTTCAACTTGACGTCTCAAATATAATGGCCCTTTAAGCTCGAAGATGATCAGTGACACGCACATTGAACGTGATTCGATTTCTGTAATGCGTTCAACTACCTCCTTCCGTACACAAATACAGCTGTGTTGTATATTAGGTTTCTGAGAACAAAAAAGTGGACTACGTGTTTCTTTCAAACTCGGTCTCGCCTTTCCATGCCATGCATGGTAGATTTTATCAATAGACACAATGTTTATTTTATTAAAATAATAGCTACCTGTATAGGTCATTAGTGAGTAGACTTAACATCAATGAACATACATAAACGGCACAGGATGAAATTAAATGTTAGTTAAATACCATTCAGTAGTTATTCATAGGACGTAATAATTTGTCGTTATTGAAAGTTACCAATGAGTCAAATGCTTTTAATTCATTAAATAAATTAAATAGTAACAGATGACAAGTGTTCAGACGCTCGATGACAATATTATTTTGTAGCTTAGTCATTATTTTTTCGTTGTTGACATTGTTTTATTTCACTAATGGCTGCATTGTTTTATTTTATTATGCGCAATGAATGTTTGCCCTATTTAGGCTTATGAATTTTCTTATTGTTAACGTTAGAATCGACGGAATACATTGATGAAGAATACATTTTCCAATTAAATCAAAGATACAACTATGACAAAAAAAAAATTGTTGCAACAATTTATGACATTTGTAGAGCGTTAACATTGACCTAGTAGAGCTACTTTTCATGTGCATTTCATCGTTAATTATTGCAAAGTAAAGATATTATTAGAATTAGTGTAATAAAAAAGAGGTAAAAGAGGAACAAGTTGTTTGTGATTTAAACTGAACACTTTCCTCTAGACAATTGTCGACCTTGACGGGGCAACAGATGCCGATGGCCGCGCGCGGCCTGGCGGTATCCAAAGCCGAGTCCAGGGAGTTCATGGCGTGCTTCCCGGACCTCATCAGGGACCTGACCGAGACCGGCAAGCACAATGACGTGCCGCAAGCTACTAAGTGGCTGGCTAAGGTACGTTGTAGGAGTGTCAGTCTTTCGTTTTAGTATTGAATACTGATAAGGGATTGGAACCGTATTCTGCTTTGTTTAGGCATATTTGTATTGACTTTTATTTGACTCAGAATTGCTTCTTTGGCGTCAAAAACAAAATGCAAATGACCACAGAACAAGTGACGTTTTTGAAACAATGTAGTTTCAGAATTGCAGTCACTTGTACGTAGTTTTTAGATCAAAAAAGCTGATACCAAAAAAACTTAACTTTAATACACGCGGTGTGGCATTGTTTCCTATCTTTAATAGCCATTAGAAATAATGAAATTTTAGAGATTCAAAAGAATGGTCAAAGCGGGTTTTATTCTGACTAATATTCGTATTTCAATAAAAATTAAAATGTTTATCAAAGTTGTACTACTGACTAAGCTACAATAAAGTCGCTCAAGTTACCATTCTTCAGCAAAAAAATTTTTAAACTCTAGCATAGGCGTATGATACAAAGGTATATAGATAAAAATACAGTTCAACGACCAGAAAATCAGTTTATAAACAGTCATGTTTCAAATAACTGATATTGTTACAATATTATATCTACATGCAAATACAATGGTGTCATAGTAAATATACTATTTACAATTACCCCCGTTGACGTAAATGTACTGGAAAAATTGATATTTTATATGTATGTATATATTACATCTCATAGGATTATAGGGGGTTATTTGTAAAATACTAACAACCGCACAGGACTAAATTACTAACATAGGTATGCAATAACTTTTGTTCCATATTTTTTTTACAAAACAAAATATATTTATGAAAAATAAACTTGTATTATTTTATTGTTCAAACGTCAAAGCGTCCACCCCCAGCCCCGCTATCTACGCTAGCGATAGCGCTTTCTTTTCTTAACGCACAGAGCTATAGCCGTTTAGAGCGATCTATTTAAATATTTTTATTTTTGTACGAAAGTAAAATTTGATGAATTGTTAAAAGTCATGGAGCAATAGTTATTTGATATGTAAGGCTGCTAAGTTGTTGTTTGATGCGAGTGCTTGTATTGAAAAATGAGCAAGCGAAGGGTTCTAAGATTCAAAAATAGAATCCTGAGCGTAGCGTGACATACAACTTTTCACCTCACTATTGCAAGGAAAATGATAAATGAAAGAAAAACAGTTGAACTATAACAAATCAGTTTAGTTCTTTGAGGAATTAAAATAATTTAGTAAACAAAACTAGTTATCGTTGTCAATTTATTATTAACAATAATAAGAATATATATTTATTAAAATATATATTATTAATGTATATTAAATATACCAACGGATTTATATTACGATAAATATAATGTACGACAAATCGCGTAATTGAACGTGTCTTTGTTTTTTTTTCATCGAAAGAAAAAGTTAGGTGCACCACAGTCCATCATCAAGTTTGAATTTCAAAAACCTTTTCCACGCTCACGTGCAAATAACTTTTTTGCGCGCAGATTTCTAATGAGAAAGAAAGCCTTTCCGGGCTAGTGAGGTGAAAAAGATGTTGTTTATGATGTTAGTAATACTTCTATAATACTTTGCTGTTAACATTTTACAAATAAATAACCTTGTATAGGTATGTACAATTTAAACGGTTAAGTACATAGCTGTGGAATGTATGTATGTGTTACTGTTTGTTTTTTCGATGGTGCTAATGCTGGTGATAAATATTTTAATATTTACTTCTGTTATTATCATTGGATTGTAGATTTATGGAAGACCTTTTAAGACTGTTGTGTACATGGAAAGAAATTTATGGTATTTATTATACTGCGAAGTTTGTTAACCTAACGTTTTACCACCGTGATGTTCATAGCTTCGTCTCGTTGTCGCAAATCGTGGAATAAGATTTAATATTTTTACTATTTCACGGATACCATAAAACCGAAAATATATTCTTATTCATGAATTAGCTTTGGTGTTTGCGTTGGAGCTGCTGCTGTTCAAATTAGTGCCCTTCAAATTTGTGCTCAAATTAGTGTTCTTTGACCACGTTATGAAGTAAATGCTTACAGTAGATAGTCAACAGTACACCCAGCTTTGCATTTTGGACTTTGAGCCTTTCTTATCATAGGCGACATGAAGTTGACTGTAATTATCTATACCAAAAATTGATATCCCATGGCTCTTAATTTTGACATACCACAAAATGGCTGACTAGCTTAAGTACCAATAACACACGTTAAGTTTCTAATATAATATCTACGTCTAAAACCAGATTTGCCGAATGCGGCTTTAGAAATGAAATAGTCGCCAGCGCTTACAAGCGTGATTCCATATCAGTTGTTATCTTCTTTTAAATACAGATTAAGGTTCGCCGGTTGTATGTATTTGTTGCTTGGGAAATGTAGACACTTGACAAACACGTGCTTTACTTAAATTTAAATTATTGGACTTGAACAAAGGTCAAAGTAATTTCTTCTGTCTTATAAAACTATTGAAAACTTTGCAATATTTATATTTTATTATTAGGCAATAAAGTCGTTGAAAACCTGAACAAAGATCGGCAATAAACACAGAAGAATTCGTAAAGTCTGCTGGTTCGTTCCGTGGCTTAACTTTTTTTTTTATATAGAATCTGGCACGAATTGCCCGAGGATGCTGGTTCGAACCCAACTGGATCGAATTATTATTTTTTAATGTTTCAATCTTTGTTATAATAATTATAACAAACTAGTGGAGTAATTTCTCAAAGAAATAATTGAATATCATTGTAGTTAAACATTGTGACATTCAATAAATTTAAAAATGAGAAAATATTTATCTTATTGAATATCATGATATTTTTACTACTATGTTGTTTATATATTTTTTGTGAAAATACTAAATTACTTTGTTATTAATATTAATACAAATGTCAACAACACAAACATTCCTTCAGCTTTAATTCGAACCAGCGTCTGTTGCCACACTGCGCACCGGGCAATCGAGTCCAGTCATATCGAAGGAAGTTTTTTGCGTTGTCTAATCTTTGTGACGTTAATAATAACAAGTAAAAAAGTTTTTTTTAATTTATTTATTACTTACAAAACCATTAAACATAATTTTCCTTTACACACTTAAACGTAAACAGACTCGTCTAAAAATAATGTCTCCCGTAACTACGTAATTATTATATGTATAATAAGAACACTTAATGAAGGTTAAGTTAAAAGTTATTGGTACATAAATCTTCTATCGTTGATGGATAACGTGAATATCTCCATAGTTATTTTCAAATATACTCCAATCTAATTGTATCGGTTATTATAATTTAATGTACATGGGAGTGATACGTATCCATATTTGCCATAGTATTATTTGTACGCGTCTTATCAAGTTTCAGCCATTGGGTCGGTCATCCGGTGTTGTTGTGTTTTTATGATTATGACATCATTCGTCGTGTCGCACAGCGCCAAGCGCACCTTTTCGAGAACGTCGTGATGTTGTAATAATATATGTAAGATACAGCGGATATTTATTTGTTATGAAATAGAACATAGAGGTGTAAAACCAAATCTTTTGTTTACAAGGATAGTATATACAAATGTTTGGTTTTCCCGTATCCCGTAGCCACCATTTAGTATAACTAATAACTAGTCCATTATTGACAGTTTTCTGTAACATTTTAGATATTCAAAATGAGCCCATGCAGGGCTTTTTTTGTGTTTATACGATTTAATCCCGCCTTACCCTTTCTATCATTGGGGAACTAGACGTAGGCTTGGGTGTCCCCGTATGTTGTTGATATTCCAAAGATGCGCACAAAGCGTTAAGCGTCCTCATTTATATGGCGAACTGCTATGGAAACGAATTCCTTGCCTGCAGATTTATTCCTTGAACGCTATAACTTGGGCCTTTTCAAGGCGAGAGTGAAGGAAGTTGTGCATCCTCGATCGTCGACCTCATCGTCACTTTCCATCAGGTCTATGTCGGAGTTAAGGCCGGAAAGAGAGACGCACCAACAAAGAATCACCCCAACGCAGATTTAGTCAGGAATCACTTGTTAATCGGCTATTCACTCTTCATTATCAATTCGTTCAGCCGGCGGTGAAATAGTAACGCCAGCTGATTGCAATTAGTTGTTTTATGCACTTTTCACAGTAATTAGTTCGAAAGTATAAAAGATGGATGAGGTTAAAGCGGATTCCAAATATCACGAGACAGGTTCGAAGGCAGCGAGGCGGTACATCTTCACTGTTCAAGCAACTTACACAAAAGCCCCCTCTCTCGGGACCATACCTAGTTTAAGCTGTCAAATTGACGTGACATTTGTAATCAAAAAAACTATGATCGAGACTCAATTATTTATGCTCACTATTGAGAGTAGTTAAAGCGATTCTTAAGTAGCCCAGTAAATCGTTTATCTAATAAATTACGTTTGAAGTGATAGCTAGCGTCGACTTACATATGTTATAAACATTATTTTATTCAATAACATAACATCAGCTAACGTGACGGGATGACGCGCCTTTGTCAAATTAATTCATATAAGTAAATAAGGACATAATAAGTACATTACAACTAGCTCTATTCACATCTATGACTTCTTTATCATGAATCATTTGACAATGACAAAGTATCCACCAAAATATTGTCCTTTACAGCTTCGACGAATTCATACAAGACACGTGATTTGTTAACAAATAAATAGACTTTTGTTATATCTTATTAATAAATACCCTGTATTTATCGACACGTAAATCTACATCGTCTGTATCTTCACCTCTTTTTTTGTAATTAAATAATATTACGTATTGTAACAAAAACCTAAGTTTGTTACGGAAAGTCTGTAAAACAAAACGAGTAATTTCAACAATTGCAATTGAACAAAAAAGACAACTAACAGCTGTTACTGTTAAATAATTCGGAAATAATAATAATTATTATCCATTGTATGCCGAATATGGCAGAAACAAATATTATTTAAAACAAAGGCGACACCTGATACAACATTTTCAATAATAATGTTCGGAATTGGCACGTTTTACGTTGAACTGTATTTCAGAATGGCAAATATTTTGCAGAACATATTCATTATTAGACTGTCATTTGTTCCAGCTGTTGCAATACAACGTCCCTAATGGCAAGAAGAACCGCGGTCTGGCCACCGTCTTAGCGTATAAAATGCTAGAGAAACCTGAGAACCTGACTCCGGAGAACATCCACTTGGCCAATATTATGGGATGGTGCACTGAAATGGTAAGTGTTCATTTATTTTAAAGATTATATTTTATTCTTCTCTTCGTCATGTGCCATCTTCTAATGATGGCAATCTGAACTTTGGACACTGCAGCCCTGAATAATGATCGGGTGCTCCTATTGAACCACTGGCGCAAACTTCTGAGCCAGGATATTCTTCTTCTTCAAACACCGCTCTTTCCTTGTATTTTGCCTTGGAATATTTATTGCAATAGGTATAATTATATTATTAAAGATTACTAACATCATAAACAACAGCTGTTGTTCCATGACTTTCAATTATTCACCAGATTTTGCTTTGGTGCAAAAATAATAATATTTGAATAGACCGTTTTAAACGGTAATAACTCTGTGTAGTAACAAAAGAAAGCGTTAGCGTAAATATCATATAAGCAAAATGCACGATCAGTGTGGGGGTCGACGTCGGGAGCAAGATATAGTAAGATAAATCTAGAGTCAGTAGACTAAAGCACATAAGTCAAAAACCAACATCATTCGTTTAAATTAATTCTAACGTACGGAATACTACGACTAAAACAGATAAGTCAAATTAATTTGTTACTTCATTAATTGTAACTTATATTCTAGTGGCGTCTCTTTCAAATTTATCATTCTCTTCACGTCTTCGAACACTAAAAAAAATATATAATTATACATTGAAAGATTAAGCACTTTTTTATTTATGTCGTTAAATCGGCTACTACACTAGAATTGTATTATGAAAACAGAAACTGCTGCTAGTTTCTAGCCGAGCTTATGTTTAATCCAGTCATTAACTTAAAAAAAAGTAACAGATGTAATTTTATTAAAAAAAACAAACAATTTAGGGAAGTATTAGACAAGGTTGTAGTAAGTGACAATAATACAATAAAATGTAAGTAAAAAATTAGATTATAATATGAACTAATGACATTTAGTTCAGTTCATTATCTATGTATAGATACTAAATACCAAAATAGAAGTTCAAGTTACGAAAATAAAAGTAAACAAAAGTTACGTCATACGCAAACAGATACTATGTACATAGATATTCTTGGTAATACGTGAGCTAATAGAATAAGCAAACAAAAAAATAAGAATTTGATGTAAATAAAAAAATTTACATGTAACGAAAATAAACAATTTCGTCATAAAACTGAGCAAACAAACCTAGAACGATAAAAGTAAATAGACTTTTCGATGTTGTTATAAAATAAGATGTGTTACCTGTGCCTCTGCCATGAGTTTTAAAATACAATTCGCCAATTTTGCATGCAAGTTTACACTATTACCGGAAGAAGTAACATTTTATATATTACGCGGTCGATAGCAACAGTTACCACTGTAGACTTAGAGGAACTGACCTTGACAATTTAGCAGTTGGAAGCCCATTAGATAAAAACGTTCAATATTTATCTGTTATTCCCATATAACAGAAACAGATAAAGTAAATATTTTCAACGCGCTACATATCTGACAGATAGATTGGAAAGAGAATCATTGTAAATCAATAATACACGGTATTAATAATGAAGTAATTTGTCACTAATCATTTCGCTGTTCGTATTTTTTTGCTTAGTACCAACTTAAAAGCTTTGTTCATTATTTGATATTTATTATAAGGATTAATAATGAAGAAGAGCACAAATCTTCATTCGTTGATTTCCAAACCAAGATTTTTTTTAAATTTCTTTACAATCGCGGTTTGCTCAAGAAGACAATTGTAATCATTCATTGCCGACGTGCGCTAATGATAATTAAAAAAATATATTGTGTACATTGTTTATTATATTTAAATATATTTAGGACATGTAATGTGACATCGGCGATGAAGTATCCTGCATGATACGCTTAGTATGGCCGGCAAGATAGTTTCGTAATGAAATGACATACAGTCCTTAAACTTTCCGGTGTACGTTATTTTACCTCAACGGCTTTGAAACCAAATCGATCACATTGCAAGGATTGATAAGAGTAGTTTTTTTTTTTTGTTTTTTGCTAACATGCAATCGGTCTTATACGAGATCATAAGCAATTATTTTTTATATATATATATTTTGTTGTTATACATATGTCAGGCATACCCTTCCAACGTTGCTTTGCCTTTATGTGGAAAATTATTCAGTTCAGTTAGTAGAGATTAGATTATAATCATACAGCATTCATACGTTTACTCAGTATTACGAATATAATAATTGCTTTTGTTAAAATAACACGTAAATTGTTCATTCTTTAGTACCCAAACCCAAGAAACGTTTATTGTTCAATACTTGCACATATAGTATAATTCACTTTATTGTCAAAGTGCCGATATGCATACTGTATTTTTACTGTTACCAAAATTTCTCAACTGGCCAAAATCCGAACAAGCTTGTAGCTTACAACACAACGGTATTTTCTTAGGTATACATATTAAGTTTTTGTATATCTCTTCCGAATTTGAAATCCGAATCAGTCGACGCAAGTTTTTGCGGATACGAAAATTTTGCAGATGACGATAAGATCGTCGTGAAGTACAATTTGCTTACAAAATATTATGATAAGTTTTGAAATTTCTAAGTGTCATCCACCATTATGTATTACGTACTATGTTATTTGTCTACGAGAAAAAAAAATTACGCTGATATGGCTGTTGGACATATATTTTTTTATTCATTCGCAAAATCATGAAAATTCTTATTCAGCCTTGACACTAATTAGTGGTAATCTTATCAAGTTATTATAATGAATTTTTGTTTTACCGTTGAAGAAAATAAATAAATCATAGATATTATCCATTATTTCAATTGTATTAGCCCATAATCAGTAGTATTAAAATTGTTTCTTCCTTCTAATGAATCACACATCTTGGATTTAAATTTTTGTTCAATATTTTAATTTTATTTTAATTCATGGTGGCCATTTTGAAACTTCCAGGCCCATAATCATTACTTATATTTAAAGTATATAAGAGAAAAACTATCACATATCACATATTTATCTATATTTATATCACAATTACCTTACTTATAAACACAGTCTTAACATCTAAAACATCTTAGAAAAAAAATCGAGTAATAAAAATATTTGCCTGGATAACACGGCTGTGTTTGTGCTAAACATCGTCAAGCCAGATCTGCCATCCAAAAAAGAAGACCATTTACATTTCACACACGCGTAGTCCATTGACCTATCAGCGACACCGCCGCAACAGAACTTAAAAAATGTGTAGTCTTTTCTTTGTAGATATAAGAACTAATATAATTTATTTATTTAATAATAATTAATTTGTTTAGTATTGTACATAATAACTATTAATTATTTATTCTTCAATAATTTATTAGAAATACATCACCACTTCTCAGTTTTTTGTAGTAACTAGTGGTTAACGGTATTGGTGGCACAATTACTACATATTTACTGTAAAAAATTACATTTAAGTTTTTATTGTGTCTACTGTTTGTTGACCCAAATAAATGAAAAAAAAAAACTAGTTTCACGTATTTTTAGCATATTCTAATATACTTAAATCCATTTTGTTAACTGTCTCTAGAACTAAAACATGATAAAGAATACCACTTTTAAAAGTAATATCAATTAACAATAGTTGTCATAATAATATCTATGTCTAAATACGTGATTAACGTAATTAATACATAGAAAAATATTGTTTTAATTTCGTATTGATACGTATAAATTGCCTAAGTGCATCAATGGAATCACATCAAATTATAATAAACCGGTGTACAATGACCTGGCGATTATCTGTCCGTCTTCATACGTCACAAGGAAGAATTAGTGAAAAGAGAGCTCTTTGTGACATCGATATTGTGCTTAACTTATAATAAACAACGGTAGAACACTTTATTTAAAAAAAATATTTCCTATTGAGCATTACCTGTAGAGCTATACGCTTAAAAAGATTACCAGTTATTAAGAAACTAAAAACGTAATATATTAACTAAGCTTTTGCTTTTATAATACAAACATCTTCTAGAGGTGCCATCTCATAACGGAGGTCGGCTATAATTAGGGCTATCTGTATTTTAGACCAGCTCCACGGAACAAGGATCTTGTGCTCAGGTTGAACCATGTCCGGAGATTCTTAAGCCACGAAGTATGCCTTCTTCTAGGCGTTCGCTTTCCCTGTACATACAAATATAAGACTGTACATCTGACTTTTTTTTTAATTCTGGGCCTGTTGTATTGGCGCTAAAATTAACTTAAAAATTGCGAGTGCACCAGAGTGAGATACTTACAAGGAATATAGTTAAGATTCATTTAACAGTAAAGTGTCCAGTCCACCTCTTCAAAAATCTTTAGTCTTACGCCAATCAAAATTAAATCATTTGTCACAAATATCTAAATGTAACATCATAATTATGTATTTAATTTAAATTTTTTTCGGCCAAAAAGCTGTTAAAAAGAGTAGTTGAAAAGAGATTCGTAACATAGAATAAAATAGAAACCATTTCTTCCTTGAAACACAATACACATTGCATTTTACAATAATAATAATAATAATACTGATAATGACAGTAATAATAACTTAAGGATTTGAAACTAAATACATATATAGAGTACAAAACGTGTGTGCTGTGCTGCCAAGGAAACCGTGACCCACTCAACTCGTCTCACATTCAAGTGCTACAAAGATCTGCTGATGCGGTCCGTAGCTTAGTTGGTTAAGAGCGGTGGCCCCGATACGGCAACAGACACTGGTCTGAGAGGATTTTTTCTTTGTTTTGTGTTTTATCTTTGTATCAATAATAATAACATATATATTTTTTCCAACAACATCATCAATCCATTATACATGGGGGAGGAGAGGGATCCATAGGCCAAATATGCTTAGGAATTTTACAAGTTTCGAAGAGTTGTGAACTTGGGCATTTTCAAGACAAGAGTGAGTAGGCATTATTTAGGTGTGCATGCTCCATCGTCGACCTCATCGTCACTTTCCATCAAGTGATTTGGTGGTCAAATGCGCACTATTCTACCATAAAAAAAGTTTGAACACGATATTTCCCTTCACCATTAACAATAGCTCGGACTAGTGTTCACTACCTAATTTCCGTGGCAATTTTTATTATTTAAGGTTTAAGTATTCGATTTTTTCATCGTGCTAAATTATTTAATATTCGAGTCAATACTCCATAATAATATTTCACGATACAATTATCGTAAAATGTTATTTAATATATACACGATAATATACTTGATTATTTCAATCATAAAAATTGGCACGAAAATCAGATATTGAACACCAGTCCGAGATGACCGTGCTACTAAACATTACTTACATTATTTAAACTTAGAAATTAAAGTCACAGGCGCTTATCCTTCGTATCATGAGAATCAACCGTTCTTACACTGGGTAACCACCATTCGTTCTTTCCAGTTTCACACCAATCAACTTCTCCTGAACGATATGATGGAAGGGACCGAAATGCGTCGTGGCGTTCCCTGCTGGTACAAAAGACCAGACGTGGGAATGTCGGGCGTCAACGATGCCATGCTGATTCTATGTGCTATGTACACCACACTGAAGCGCAATTTCCAGCACAAGTCTTATTACAAGAATGTTGTTGAAATGTACAATGAGGTAAGAGAAATGCCAGCCGAAAACCTTTTTCTTTTGTGGTGATTAAAATCAAACTGATTAATGTAGAATTTTTCTTCAGTCTATAAGGTTACACAGTAACTTTAGAACTCTGAAATTGTATGATTAGTTCAACTTTTTAATTAAAATAGTACCTATTGGACGTGCCCGAAAGACGCAGCCTCATTTTTTTTAAACCGCTACTCGACCCCTCTTGTCATAACTAACACGTCATTTGCATTTCGGTAACTTTTGAGATATTAGCACCTAATTATTGTCACTTAAAAAGTGTATATGTCGCAGCCGTATTATATAAGGAGCCGTATTACATTACGGCTAGCCGGTTTGCAAAACGGCGCTCCACACTTAGTACACATTATAATTGTATTTATGTTAAAGCAGAACGATAAATTTACCTAACTTACAGGAACGTTTGTCTAAAGAGTGCAAGAGCAATGTCGAAAAAAATTCAGATGTGCGAGATGTTTTAGGTTTTAACTTTTTTAAATACACACACATACACGCACACACACACACACACACACACACACACACACACACACACACACAC